CCAGCAAGTCAGTTCAAATACCGGTTCAGCAAACCAGCTGTAACTTTAACATCTGGTTCGCCCAAACCTGTCCAAACTGGTAGAATCCCACCCCTGGTCATAAATCATTTTTTTCAGTGCTATTGTAACTTCGAGTGGTTACTAAACAAATGGTTGTACTTCAAGGATTACCTCTATGTAACTAAGGAACTCTCTGCCTAATAGCTAATGTTCAAATGGAGGTTTCCACCATTTGGTGCCTGCCAGTTTTCATTGGTACCTTGTAATTTCTTGGGCTGCAACCCCTGTAATTACCAGCCATGATAGAATGAAGAGAGCAAAAATCTAAGCACTCCGCGAGTGCACATTGATGTCCAGATAGGTGCCAACAGAACAGATAAAACAGCAACATTTGGCTCTCTCGTCACATCTTTGAAAAGATTGCCTTCAGAAACTGCATTTCATGAATACTTCTTCCAAAGATTACATTTCTTCTTCTTCTGGCGTCTGTTATATCAAGAATAAAACGTACCCTTGATGCCAGTAACAAAAAATCCCCATCAGGTAGTACTTATTCTTCCATTGGCAATGTACATATTGCAACCAGTTATAAGTGCTTTCTCCCTTCTTTCTTGTAAAGTGGAAGTTGTGCAAGGTGACTCCCCAAAACCACGGCTTCTCCCACCAGGACGGGGTCCATTCACTGGAAACAACCACAAGGTATGAGAAAAATCCAGGTTTTGCCCACACTTCTCCAAAAGGTATCACAATACACCTGGATAAGTTGGTTCAGATGGCATCTCCCATAACATCCTTCTAGGAAGTGACTAAAGTAGAACTCTTCCAGAGGACTTTCAAGTTAAACTTTGCTGCCATTTAGACAAATTAGCACTTCAGCTGTCATTATATATATATTTGCTAATCATTAGATGGGGGTGGGTGGTCCTTCTTGCTACCCACTTCCTTCTCTGCAAAAACATTCACCTGCAGATTTGATTTACACCATAATCAGGATTGAGGAAAGCAATCAGAATCTAGTCATACCAACCAGCCTTGGAGGAGAAAATGAACTGAAATGAGGAAGATTCTTCCTGCGTAGGAGTAGATGATTTGACAAGTGTTTATAATTATCAGTATAGGAATATTTTGATATTATTGTGTTAAATTTGTGGATGTTAAGGTCAGTTGTTTATCTGGTTCTATCTTTAGTTGTGTTTGTTTAGTTGTCAACTCTATCTATCTATCTATCTATCTATCTATCTATCTATCTATCTATCTATCTATCTATCATCTCTGTCTATCTATCTCATCTATCATCTATCTATGTTTACACTCTATCCTCTAAATATGTCTTTGCATTAGTTATAAGGCTTTCAAATATAATCTACTCCAAACTGATCTTTATTGCATATCAAAACATATTAAAATATGTTTTTAATAATAAAATACGTTTTGATAAAATTAAAATCTTCCTCAACCTGTCAATCTAAAACCTTGCTTGAAAGTCAACAGGCATCTGAAAAAGCACAAGTTGATCTAAAGGTAAATTGATTTTTCTCAGTTCTGTTTTCATGGCATAACCCTCGCCTAGTAAGATTCGGGTAGTACCTTCTTTCTGGATACTGTTTAGTGTGAGTGATGGGTTTCAGATTTGTTGCCTTCAGTCATGGACCTTCATTGTTTCAGCTATAAAGATAAGTAGAGATTGTATATGTGGACCTTCGCCAACATGTAGTAAGAGATAGTAAGAGATGTTGACTGCAAAATCTGTGAGTTGAAGTCTAACAATCTGGACTTAGTAGATCAGGGAAAAGTAAAAATCACTCTGCATTATCTTGCTGCAGGTCATCTAAATGATCTTCATGTTGGTCTTAATGGGTTGAGGTCCTTCAATTGTTCAACGCTTTTGCTAAAGGACACTTTCTGTGCTGAGCCAAGGGCTACCACGTGCCACTTTTTCTCAAAAGAAACCAGTGGTCCTGAATAGGGCCACTGAGAAGAATGAAAAAGCAACTGGCTTCTAAATCTTTCCCAAGGATCCTACTAAGGATAGCTATTTCTCTATTCCCATTTATAGCGTACTGTCTATCTGATTAAATATCAGGAATGATGGGATAAATATGGAACCCACCGATTCCTGACAGAGCGTTTCAAAGAAAGATTTCTACTTCATCAGCCAAGGGCCCTTTAGGAACTCACATCAAAGTGACTTCCTTTCCTGCCTTCCTTTCTTTGGTGCTGTTTTATAAAAATATAATGACCCCCTTGGAGGTGAAATTTATCTGGAAACTGGGCCTTAGACCAGGGTGCAAAGAAATTGCACCCTGGTCTAAGGCCCAGTTTCCAGATAAACTTTCTTCTTTCTGGCCTACAGGCTGTAGATGACATTTTAGAGGCATACAGTGACTAAATCCTAAACAGAGAGAAGAAAGCAGGACAAAACTATGATTGATCTCATGTCATTTATCTTCAGAGTTAGGTAAAATTAACAATAACTAAGTGCAGTCTTGTCCAGCAATCTATTTATTAATGTTTTCCTTCTTTTACAAGGCAAGTGTAAAATACCAGTAGCCATCTGAAGCAGTGGTGGGATTCAAATATTTTTACCACCAGTTCGGTGAACATGGCTTGGTGGGTGCACTTTGCATGCATGCACACACTTTGCATGCACGTGTGCACCAAATGCACACTTTGCGCAGGTACAGAGGTGTTTTAACTTGCCTCCTGCAAGCCTCCACGATCTCCCGGTTGCTTCAGCAGCTGCCGCGTCACACTCTTCTGTGCCGCGCAAAGCAGCTGTGCTTCAAATTCAGCGGATAAAGGTGAGTATGGGAGCCCGAGCGGGTGGGTGGGCCCAACAGCACAGTGGTGGAGAGAACCGGTTCCGTCTCCACTGCTCGTCACTGCTACCGGCTTGGCAGAACCGGGCCGAACTGGTAGAATACCACCACTGATCTGAAGCCTCCGGTTCAGCATATCTGTAATCCAAGGCTCAACCACTCTGGACCTCTAGATTTTTTAAGAATACTTTTAACTGTTTTATTAATGTCATAAGCAACTCGCCTGACCAGAAATAATGGCAGTTGTCAGGGAACAATATAGTTGGGAATCACTACTCAACACTCGTTTATAAAGTTGTTGTTCAGTCGCTAAGTTGTGCCTGACCCTTCATGACCCCATGGATTGTAGCACGCCAGGGCCCTGCTATACTCCACCGTCTCCCTGAGTGTACACAAATTTATTACCACTGCATCAATGACACTATCTAACCATCTCATCTTCTGCTGTCTCTTTCTCCTTTCGCCTTCCATCTTTCCCAACATCAGGGTCTTCTCCAAGGAATCGTCTCTTCTCATTTGGTGGCCAAAGGATTTGATCTTCAGCTTCGGGATTTGTCCTTCCAAAGAACAGTCAGGATTGATTTCCTTTAGGATTGACCGATTGGCTCTCCTTGGAGTCTGAGCGACCCTCAAGTGTCTTCTCCAACATTTCAAGAATGTTCTCTAACATCATTTATAGCAGGGGTCTTCAAACTTGACAGCTTTAAGAGTTGTGGTCTTCAACTCCCAGAATTCCTCCTCCAGTCATGTTAGCTCAGGAATTCTAAAAGTTGAAGTCCACAAGTCTTAAACTTGCCAAGTTTGAAGACCCTTGATTTATAGTAACAATACCTAAACATCAGTTTAGGTATTGAGACTGAGACTGAAAGTAGTGGATTCAACAGCCAGTTTCTTTGTCCCTTCTGAATATTCTAGCTTTTTAGAGGTTTGCCTTCAATGGCACAAGACAGGCGAGATCTTAATAACCATTGTGCTTGCTCTAAATCCATGTAAACAATACTGCAAACTCAACCTGGATTGCACAATTTAAATACAACAGCTTCTTTTAAAAATACATAAAAACAAAGATGCCATTCCATTGTTGCCATGTACTTTTCACCTGTCTATACAAAACTTTTCACCTGTCTTATAAAAGTATTTTATATATGCATGATCAACATATTATTTGGGTTACGACCTACACTCAGGATGAGAATATGAAGACTCCAACAAGATGGAGCTCGAGAAGGAAATCAAAATTGAGCAACAGAAGAGATCAGCGAGAGATTCAAATGACACAATATAGTTAAATGATGGCTTGAAGGAAGTCTACTGCCAGCAATAGTCTCCTTCTAAGCACAATCCCTCTGCCAAATGGTAGGAACTATGGGGGTGGGAGGGAGGGAGAGAGGAAAGGAAAGAAGGAAGATGGAGGGAGGGAGAGAGCGAAGGAAGGAGCGAAGGAGGAAGAAAAGGAGAAGGGAAGGAGAGGGAGGGAGGGAAGGAAGGAAGGAAGGAAGGAAGGAAGGAAGGAAGGAAGGAAGGGAAAGGAAAGAGTGAAGGAGGAAGAAAAGGGAAGGAGAGGGAGGGAGGGAGGGAGGGAGGAAGGAAGGAAGGAAGGAAGGAAGGAAGGAAGGAAGGAAGGAAAGAGTGAAGGAGGAAGAAAAGGAGAAGGGAAGGAGAGGGAGGGAGGGAGGGAGGAAGGGAGGGAGGAAGGAAGGAAGGAAGGAAGGAAGGAAGGAAGGAAGGAAGGAAGGGGAAGAGAGAGAGATGTTGATCATTCCTCTCCAATTCTGAGAATTTTTAAATTGAACAGTGCTTTAAAATAGAAAACAGGTTTCAAAAATCTGTTAATCTGCAGTTCAAAATCATCTACACAGTCATTGTCCAAGCACTGAAAGCATTTATACCTTGATGTGTTTCTGTCAGGTGAGAAAAGCCCAGAATGCAAAAAAAAATAAAAAATAAATGATGCAAAAGGGAAAAAACACCCTCACAATTTCATCATTTCTCACCTTGAAAGCATTCCGACATTTTAAGAGCAAATTGGTATTGCTCTTAAGAATGGTGGAGAGAAAGAAGTCCTTCCCATTATAGGAAAAAAAAAAATGCCTTCCATATGATTCTGACTCTGGGTTCCATGCTAAGAAATTCCACTCAAACTATGAAAAATTCCACTCAAGCTATGAAAAGCACGCAAAACAAAAACTGTTTGTTTTTTTAAAAAAGAGGCACTTTTCTATTTTACATAACAAGACAAATTCAACCTTGTTTTGACTCTGCCACCCAGGATGAGAGTCAATCTGGCTTTATGGTTTTTTGAACTGTTACTATGTCAGGGACAAATTGGCAGCCAAAAATGGGAACTTAAAAATGGCTTTTCTATCATACAGAATAAAAGGAAGGAAGGAAGGAAGGAAGGAAGGAAGGAAGGAAGGAAGGAAGGAAGGAAGGAAAGAAAGAAAGAAAGAAAGAAAGAAAGAAAGAAAGAAAGAAAGAAAGAAAGAAAGAAAGAAAGAAAGAAAGAAAGAAAGAAAGAAAGAAAGAAAGAAAACGTCTCATCCGTCTTTGGTTCTCCAATCTGCTCTCAATGCCGTGCTGGATTTGGACAGTCCTCTTTTTCTGTCTTCCAGAGACAAATAAGCCGGGTCAAATAAGTCATTCCTATGAACGACTTTGATTTTTTTTTGTTGTTGTTTGAAGTCCAAATATGACTTCCAGACAACCCTGGATGGAGTGAATGCAGCACTGATCGGATCTGCAAGGCGAAGTGGGAGGGTGGCGCGGAGAGGCAGCCCGTGTACGCAGCGTTCCCGGAAGGGGCACCTTGCATTCCAAGGTTCATATCCTACTAGGCGCTCCTTTTCTTCCTAAGGGGACTGGAACTGCTGTATGGTTTCAATTCAGCCTGTTGCACCTGTAAAAATAAACAGACGCCACGTTGGAGAAAGGTAAGCCCAACTCGCTCCTCCGTGTGTTAATGGCTCCCTGGAGAGGAATCAAAGAAAAACTAAGAAAGGTTCAATCGCCATGAATCATTTTCTAAACACAGGAACATGGGGGATTAATTGCAGGAAGGATCGCAAGAGTCACGGATCATTTCTAGAACACCAAAATATTAAAAACAGATTTTTTTCCCCCCCCTCCTGGTCCTAATGAAATGCGCCAGAATTTGGGCGGGGAATAGAAAAGCATTCTACTTGGTTGGGGCATTTTGCAGAAAATATCTTTTTTTCCTCTTTTTGGAGTTCTTTCTCTGAGGGTTGGATTTAAAGGAACCAGATTTCTCTGCTAGACATTCAAGGGTGCTTTTTTCTTTAAGAGGCAACTGGACAGTTTTTTTCCAGGAGGAGGAGGAGGAGAAGGAGGGGAAGGGCAAGAGGAAGAGGAGGAAGAAGAGGAGGAGGAGGCAGTGGAGGAGGAGGAGGGGGAGGAGGAGGAGGAGGAGGAGGAGGAAGAAGAAGAAGAAGAAGAAGAAGAAGAAGAAGAAGAAGAAGAAGACGACGTTGTTGTTTTGCTTCTCTCCCAAGAAGCTTCATTGGTACTGGTGGTGGAGAACTGATGAAAACTTCTTGGATGAGAAGCGAAACCTTCTCAAGGGAAAAAACAGTCGTTGCCTCTTGAAGAAAAAGGTGCCTTTGAAACAAATATGGCCTGGATGACTGAGAATCTCCATAGACATCTTGCTAGGCACTGTTTCTTGAAGTTCGGGAAGATGTCAAGATGCCTAAGTTTGCAAATCAGATACTAGACATCCAAAGTTAAAACCTAGGAAAAACCCTCTTTTTCCCCCCTTCAATCAACTGACTTAGAGTTGGAAGCAATCATGTTCTGTCATATGTTCCATGATACTTTAAATCTATTTGATCTAAACCAATACATTCGTCTTTATGTACCTGATGAAGTTGTTTCTGGTATATGCATGCCACCACAAAATATCTCACCTTTAAGGAGTCGGTAGACACTGGTACTTCTTTGACAAATGTACTTAGACAGTTCGGGTTTATTCAAACTGAAAATCAATTTTGTCCTCCATGACCCCATTGCTTTTAAAACCAACAGTGCCGAGCAAAGCTCTTCTATTTTATTTTATTCCATTTGCAGCAGGATTATTAAGCATAAACAACAGTTCTAGAATGCAGTTGTCTCTTGTTGAGTCCTTCTGTGAATCTTACTAATGACTTGAGCTGCTGGCACTCATTTTCACACGCCTTTTCACTTCCCTAGCTATTTTTCACCAACTCCCCTTCTTTCACCTCTCTGTATTTCAGAGGAAGGGGGTTTGTTATAGATGCAACTCAAAATTCCAAGTCTTTATCGAACACCTTCACTCCAAGCAAAAGGTCACAGCACATGATAAAATAATTAAGAGATGATCCAATGCAATATTTTTTATTTTATTTTATTTTTTTTAAAGTGAAAATTCATTTCAGTTGATCATGATTTTGCAGTCTGGGAATTGGACATTTCTGGTCAAAAGCTATATATATAGTTCTAGGTTAGGAAACATCTCTCTCTCTCTCTCTCTCTCTCCCTTTCCCTCTCTTTCCCTCCCTCCTTCCCTCCTAACTTAGAACTCCCGCTTTCTAGCATGGTGCCTTAACTACTAGACCAAAATGGCTTTCTGGTTAATGGTTAATCTCTCTCTCTCCTCCCCCCACTTCCTTTCTGTCCCTCCCTCCCTCCATCCCTCTGTCTCCTTTCCTCTCTCTCTCTCTCTCTCTCTCTTTCTCCCTCCCTCCCTCCCTCCTTCCCTTTCCTGGAATGTAAAATTGGGCAAATGTTACTTTACCCATTTTTTTAAAAAAAAGGGTTATTGTGCTTTGCTTATTTAAAAAAAAGGGGGGTGGGTGTGTTTAAATTCCTATAAGTTCTCATGAAAATACAAATCCCGGGGCAGCCTTTTTCCGTACCTGCCCCCACTTCCAGAACCCTGTTTCAAGGTTCAGATGGCCTTCCCCTCCCCCGTGCCTGCCCTTGCTCTTCTCACCCCTCCTGGTTAATGATCCTGTCCCCGTGCTTGTGTACTGCTAGCCAACGTGGCCCTCCAGCATCACACCTGCTGGTCTTTGGCCGCAGCTCCACTTCTCTCTGCTGGAGACCCCATCCCATACTTACCCTCTGAACATCGGATGGGACCCTGGAGAGGAAGTCCAGCAACTCATTATTGTCAATGGAATAAGGATTCCTTAGCTTCTTGGTAAATTTATGTATGCCTGGAAAAGACAGGAGGGAAAAGGAGTTTTTAAAAAAGGCTTGGCGGGGAAGGGGGGGGGGCAGGAAAACACACACAAACACGCGCGCGCACATGCACGCACCCCACAGCATGGAACTGCCTGACATGCTCAGACAGGAAGGTGGGCGGGTGGCTGAGCGAGTTTTGCAAAGGAAAAGAATGAGTGTGAAAACACCGAGAAGCCGGACACATGTTGCTCTCACGCGGAATCGTGCACAAACATTTCTTCCTTGAAGAAACCAGTGGGAGGTTTATTACGAAAGTCAGCCAGCCGTTCGGCTCAGGAATCAAAAATCCCATTGTTCACACAAGAAGGGGCAGGGGAAGTGCGAGCTGCCACTGGCAAGATGGCTAGCACATTTCTGAAGAGCCTGAGAACCTGTCCGAACAAGATCTGGGGGCTCTCAAGATGTCTCCTACGAAAGTTGTCCTCTTAAAAGCTTCTGCATTTGGGAAGAGGAGTGTATTCACCGGATGCCTCTTTCTTGAGAGTAGCTGGATCCTTCCGCAAAAGTAATTCAAGAGTCAGGAAAAACTACCCAGCCAGCCAGTCTATCATGGTCTATCTTCCCTGTTCTCAAAAGGAGACTGACGGCAGGGTAGAGTCATCAAAACGTGCTACTCGTTTCCTGCTCTAGGGGGCGGTGCTCATCTCCGTTACAAAGCTGAAGAGCCAGCGCTGTCCAAAGACGTCTCCGTGGTCATGTGGCTGGCAGGACTGAACACCGAAGGCCCACGGAACGCTGTTACCTTCCCACCAAAGTGGTCCCTGTTTTCCTACTTGCATTTTTACGCGCTTTCAAACTGCTCGGTTGGCAGAAGCTGGGACAAGGAACGGGAGCTCACTCCGTTACGCGGTGCTAGGGATTCGAACCGCTGAACTGCCGACCTTTCTGATAGACAAGCTCAGCATCTTAGCCACTGAGCCACCGCGTCCCTCAACTTGGAGGTACAGGGTGCACAGAACTGTTGACCTGCAAAAGTCTGCAGAGATGTTGAACACTTCCAAAATCTGCTTCCGCTATCATTTAACACACATGCACAAAAGACACGAGCATAACAAAAGGAAGGAATGTGCAAAGCTGGGTGAAAGATCTCTCAGGAAAGATGGGGGAACTCTACACATGCTCAGACACAGATACTCTTAGTCCACGACTTACAAATATTTGTTTAGTGATCAAAGTTACATCCTTTCACTTACAGCCAATGCACCATCCCCACGGCCACGTGATCAAAACTGAAATGCTTGGCAACTGGCCGGTATTTATGGTGGTTTCACTGTGATCACCTTTTGCAACCTTGCCAGCAAGCAAAGTCAATGGGAACCCAGATTCACTTAACAAACATGTTACTCGCTTAACAATTGCAGTGATTCCCTGAATAACGATGGCAAGGAAGATTTTTAAATGAGGCAAAATTCACTTAACAACTGTCTTACTCAGCAATGGAGCTATTGGGCTCCATTGTGGTCATAAGCCAAAGGCCAAGCGAATTTGAAACTTCCCTCGTAAAGGTAGCTGAACAATCACCCACTTCCAAGGTGGGCACTGTTCTTCTACCATCACCTGGAGAGCCTTGAGGAAAATATCCCAAAGGTGCTCTTTTCAAAAGGCAGCTGGACTTTGTTTTTCCTTGAAGACCTTCGGCTTCTCATCCAAGAAGTTTCTTCAGTTCTGATGTGAATGGTGGAGGACTGAGGAAGCTCTAAACTGAAGAAGCTCCTTGGATAAGAAGTGAAACGTCTTCAAGGAAAAACAAACTCCAATTCCTCCTCCTCTTCTTCCTCCTCTTCCTCCTCTACCTCTTCCTCCTCCTCCTCCTCTCCCCTCTTTCCTCCTCTTCCTCCTCTACCACCACCTCTTCTTCTTCTTCTTCTTCTTCTTCTTCTTCTTCTTCTTCTTCTTC